CGAAGAGGGCCAGAGCCCACCCTGCCCTGCTGGAAACCACGAAGCCGAAGCAGCCGCAGGGAGAATCTGGCTGTGCTGCTGCTGGCAGGGCTGGGCTGCAAGGGCTGCAGGAACATGAGGGAGAGAGGAGGTCTGGCCCCTCCACCGCTCCAGGCTGCCATGCACAGTCTGGCTGCAGCTAATGAAACCCCCCAGGCTTATCAGAGCCCTGCAGATGTGCTGCCGTGGCCAGCCAGGCAGCCGAGGGGAGGGAAGGTGTCCCTGACTGACCGGCACCCCCAGCCCCGGGGCAGGCTGTGGCTCTCCAAGCCATGAGCTTCCCTTAAAGCCCCCCTTGCTCCACAGAACGAGGAAAGGCACCCGGAGCCAGGCCTGCACCACCTTGCCCGAGGTGAGGCCTCTGCACCGGGTTGGCAGAGGGGAAAGTGAGCTGCAGGCTCACTGCCCTCCCCCAGCATCCCCTACCCCTCCAGGGGAAAGGACAGAGCCCCAATTGTTCCTGCACTCAGATGGCAGCTCTGCCTGGTCATCCAGCTGGATTAGGTCTGCAGGGACACTGCAGTGGCAACCAGGGCCGGCCAGCCCACACGCTTCCAGCCTAATCCCCAGAGTCCCTGTCCTCAGCAAGGGTAGAGCCGCCCCCAGACCCCTGTGTCCCCAGGGCAGGAGAGCAGTAGGAGCTCCCTGCTCCTGCCCCAACCTCCTGTCACAGCTCAGGGCCACCTCAGCCAGCCCCAGGGCCAGCAGGCTGGTCACGTTCCTGCCTGTGTCCCCAGAAGCAGGGCAATGTGCCAGCAGGTTCCTGCACCCCACGGGTACAGGAGGTGAGAGCACGTGAACCACTATGTTCCCGCCCTGCTGCTGCATCCATCTCTCTCTCCTCTGTCCCCCAGGTCCCTTGCAAGGCCCCTGGCAGTGGATGTGGGTCCTGGCACCAGGGGTCTGCCCCAGGACGCAGGCGGCAGAGGAGCAGGGAGTATGCCAGGACAGCACGCCTCTGGGGACAGTGTCCAGACCCTGCACTGCAGCCAGGATCCTCTCAGATAAGGACCCTGGAGGCCTCTCATGGGGCACTGCCAGAAGCACCCAGTCCCCTGTTCCCAGCCTGGCTGCACATCCTGTCCCGGCAGCACCCCTCCAGGAACAGCAACCCAGAAACTTCCCAGAGGGAAACCCAGATCACTCCAGCTCTGCTGTCCCCTCTGCAGGAGGGGGCTGCCTGGGCCAGCCAAGCTTTGTCCCACAGCACAGACACCAGGACAGGCTCCAGAAGGACAAAATGTGTCCAGACCTGCAGCTCCTGCCCAGCCCGTGGGGCTCTGCCCATGGGTCCCACCTTGCTGCTGCTCCACTGGCAGCTGAGCGGGCTGGGACAGCTGGGAAGTGCCAGCTCTGGCCACAGAGCCACCAGCACATGGAGAAGGTGGGTGCAGAGCCTCCCATGGCTCCTGGAGACAGACCCTAGAGGGGCCTGGGCTCCCAAGAGGCCCTGCATGGCTCTGTGCTGCACCCCGGGGCCAGACAGGCACCCCCAGGCTGGGTCAGACATGGCTGCAGAGGCCAGCACCCCCAAACCCTGGCAGTTAGGCCTGGGACCCAGCACCACAGCATGAGAGGGAACGCAGCTGGGAGCGACCAATGGCACCACAGCCCTGTCCCTGCTCCCAGGGGTCCCAGCAGAGACCTGGTGCAGCAGGACATGTCCTAGTCCCCTCTTCATGGCAGCAGCCCTGGCCTCACATGTCCTGTGCCCTAATACCAGCTTGCAGACACTTAACATGCACACAGCCCTGGTGTGAGGCCATCCAGCAGCCCCAGGACCCTCTGTGGGGCCCAGCCCCTACAAAGCCCCCTCCCTGGGCACGAGCCTTGGGATACTTGGGGCTCCCTGCCCCAGCGCCCTGTGCACCCAGGCCCCGCACAGGGCTCCGCTCGGCAGCAGCCACCTTCCCCGCCCCACAGCTCCCGGCAGCTGCTCCCCGAGAGGTCCTGACACCGCAGCCACGAGTTGTGCAATTTCCTCTGGGATTTCACCCCTTGCTTCCTTCCCGGAGAGCCAGCCCAGCCTGGCAGCGCCCCAGTCTCGGGGTAACAGAACCCTGGAGGGGGCTGGCAGAGTGACGTGGGCTCCGCTCCACCGGAGCGGCCCCATCCCCAGCTGAGGGCAGGGAGAGCAGAGTGTGGGGACCTGCTGGCACCCCTCTGCCAAGGGCGGCTCTGGGCCCAGGACACACAGCTGCTGCCAGACCACCCGCTCCGGGGACACCCCCGAGGGGCTGCTTCCACCCTGGCTGTGCTGGGGCAGCCCTCTGTGCCAGCACCACCAGGAACTAGAGCCCTCCCCTCCTCCACCAACACACAGCGCTCCCATTTTTTTCATGCTGGGATGGGTTTTCCTGCTTCCCCCTTCAGCATGCAGAGCGTGCCACGCCACATCATGCCATGCTGTGCCACCAGACCGTCCCATGGACAGGGGGCGGCCCTGGCTCCATTCAGGAATTACAACCCTTGAGTCAAGGCAGTGGATGCTGGAAGGCCACAGGGAATGGGTGGAAATGCAGCGGTCCTGCTGCCAGAGAGATCAGCCCTTGAGCTGGCTCTGGGGCTGAACCTGGTGCCCACTCAGACTGTGGCAGAGCCAGAAGAGGATGCCACTTCCATGAGGAGAAAGAAGCAGGGGACTTACCGGGCCCAGGTTGAGGAATCCATGCTTCCTGCCTGGCCTGTCAGCCTCCTGGGGCCCCGCAGGGACGAGCACAGCCCAGGTGTTGGTGTAAATCTGCTGGACCAGCACCTCCTGGGCCAGGAGAGTGAGGGCAACCACCAGAGTCCAGAGCAGGAGCAGCGAGCAGGGCCTCAGATCCATCAGAGTATCAGGATTCCTCTAGCCGGGGAGCAGGAGGGTCCCGGGAGCGGGGGGTCCAGCGGCCTCCCTGCTTCAGCACCCTGGGGCGCGCCGGCCTCTCTGCCCCGCTGGCCCATGCTCTGGACCAGGGCACCTGGGGAGTAGG